TGTGCTGTATAGGCTTCCGGTTTTCCTAAAGTGGAAGACAAAGTCTTAAAATGATTACCAGGCTGACTTTGAACTCTCTGTGTAGCCAAGGATGGCCTTGAACTTCTGATCCTCCAGTCTCTAGCTCTTGATTGCTGAGATTACAGATGTGTCTACCACATCCTGTTTATGTGGCACTGTGGCTCAAACACAGGTCTTTGAACGTGGGAGGCAAGTCCGGTTTTCCTAAAGTGGAAGACAAAGTCTTAAAATGATTACCAGGCTGACTTTGAACTCTCTGTGTAGCCAAGGATGGCCTTGAACTTCTGATCCTCCAGTCTCTAGCTCTTGATTGCTGAGATTACAGATGTGTCTACCACATCCTGTTTATGTGGCACTGTGGCTCAAACACAGGTCTTTGAACGTGGGAGGCAAGCACTCCACCAACTGGGCCACATGCTCTGTCTTCTGTCACTTTTGCCCTCACTCAGCTCCAGCTCTCAGGGACCCAGGCACTTCCTGTCTCTGGGACTGGCAGTCCCTGCTCTGTGTCCCAGATGCTTTCCTTCAGATATCCACATAGCTTGCTCACTCACCTGTTTCACATCTCTATTTAAGTATCACCTTATGAAGGAGGTCATCTCTACCTGCCAGGACTCAACAGACAACAGATTGCACTTCACATCCAGATCCTTTCTAGAGAAGAGTGGGAAGGTACAGGAGGTATCTGAAGACCACAAGGATAGGTCGTGACTCCCAAGGCTATTATGGGTTACATTGTGGGGAGAGTTGTCACCACCTAAGACCAGCTGGGGAGGGGAGGAAGCTGTTACAGCATCCATGATTGGGGGGAGGGGGTGGGGTTGAAAATGTAGCACAGTTGGTTGAGTGCTTGCATAGCCTCCACACAGCTAGTTCAAGGTCAGCCTGGGCTACATGAACCTGGTCTCTAAAATAAAAGGAAGAGGATGCTGTGAAGAAAGGGCAACCTTGTGGGGCTGAGGGCTTTGAGAACAGGATGTAGCCAGTCCAGGTGCTTTCTTTCTTGTACTGCTTTTCCTGAGAGCCCCCTTTTGACCAAACTCATAGAAGCCAGAGGTCAAGGGGTTTGGGAGATGCAGTCCCTGCATGGCAGCCTGTTAGGACACAGATCTGGGTGAAGCAGGGTGGGGAGTGGAAGGACGGAGGGAGATGCCCAGGTCACCCCCACTGAGCACACTATTTAAACATCATTCCACCTCACATCCATCTCTTTCCTGCTTATTTTTCTCTTCTTTATTGCCTTCTAAAATGCCCAACATTTTTTTCTTTCTCCATTGAATTATGAGTTCTACAAGGATAAGGATTTTGACTATTTTGTTCACAAATGCATCCCCAATGCCCAGCCTGGTACCAGATGTATTGTAAGTGCTCAATAAATATATGACAGAGGAATGATGATTCCAAGGGGGGCAGTTGGGGAGGGGCAAGTGAGCACAAACAAGGCCTGGGGTCGCTTCCTATAGCCAAAGTCTCTGGGTTTAACCTTGGAAATTGCCATCCATGATGGAGAAAGAATGCATTCTTGTTCAGGTAATTGATAGTAACTGATGGTAATTTCGAGTAATTAAACACTAATTAATTCAAAAAATTTTTTAAAATTAAAAAAAAAAGAAAACAACATAACCATCACATTATATAACTTAAATACAATTTTTATTTTTGAAATATTTTATTTTTAAAGCTGAAAATTTTTCTCAAAAAAACCTGTATGGAACTTGTATACTCAAATCTGCTAAAATAGCATATAGATTGGCCAATCAAAAACAGGATCATTCTTTAATATAAAAATCTTGCAGAAAATTTAACGTCTTTAGTAATTACTGTACAAATGTTATACAAGCATCCAAAAGAAAACTATCTGAAAATGCTTTAATAAATTTCTTACATTAATTTCCTTAAATAATTGATGGTCAAATTCTGAACATCAGACACCATTTTAACACAAACCACCTTGCCACCTTGCTGCTAATTAGTTTTGCAACAATTTTATACTATTTGGTATATTCACAAGAATAGTAATAACTGACAGCATACAAAAAGCTTTATGCTACAATTATAGATTCCATTAGAGAGCTCTCCAAAATATAAAATACCTTAGTTAGTAACACTAAATAAAACAAAAAAGAGAAAAAAAAAAAAAAAAAAAAAAAATCTCGGAATAAACCTGACCAAAGACCTTAAAGAGCTCTATTTAAATTATGTAAAATATATAATATCAAAACTGTCTGATAATGACTTGCCAGTTCTGCCAATATTTCTGTAATATATCTCTGATAACAATACTGTCAATATACTGGGGAATGAGAGGGCTTTCTGAGACAGCTAAGGTTAGTAAGGCCATTGCTCAATGTGAGTTAAATCAGGAATTAGCCACAGGACAGGTGTACCAGACATCTTACCTCACATCTAAATTAATCCATTTCCTCCCTTCTCTAGTCCCAGAATAACCCCTCATCCTATGTGCCCATGCATTTTGCTTTCTTTTTCTCCATTTGTGTAACCTAAGAGATTGTGTTTTAATAAATGATCTTAATTTGTGGAGAAGAAAAATCAAAATGTGATTAATGATAAAAGTTTCTCAAATTTTGGATTCAGTGCACTAAACATGTAAGTGATTAATCCCTGGCTGCCCAGAAGCATTCTTTGTTTCTTTTCCAAGATGATGATGATTCTTCATATATTTCCTAAAAAAACAGAACCATAACAGGTATTCAAAATGGATAGTTTTAAAAAATGAAAACTACAGCTTGAATAAATCACACAAATGAGTACGACATCTACTTCTACCTACGCCTTTTAGCAATCTAATCATCATTTTCATGAGGCACCGAGAGTGTGCCAATGAATACACGCACCCAATCCTTAAGGATTCCAACTCCACCTTGAAAACTGATGGGCCAGAAGCGATATGAAGAAGCCACTACAGAGAAGAAATAATTCCATTTGGCATGAAAAGTCACATCAAGGTTTGGGTTATGCAGAAAATGGAAAGTCTAGCTTTAAACATCTTTTCTTTCTAAAGTCAACTATGCCATGACATTGCTTTAGGGCGGATGGGTATTTCCAGCAGCTGTGCATTAAATGAGCACTGCAGAAGTGTCTCTAAATAGACGGAGCTGTAGTCTGGCACGAACTTCTCTGTGAAGTACCCTCCTGCCTGCCTGCCACCTCTTTCCCTACATCTTAGATGATCTTCTAGCACAGATGAAGCAAAGAATCAGACTAAATTCAGACAAGTGTGAAGAAGATTATCTCTCCCAACACTAGTCAGATTCCACTTCTGGAGCCCACAATGAATATCAGGTTTTATTCAGAAAGTATGATCACTCAGTTCAAAGTTCTATTTGCTCATCTTTCCCACTGCATGAGGCTGGCCACCCCTACAAGGACAACAGGCTTACCCTTTTTAGCCCTGGCCCTCCCACCTCATCTGATCTACTAGCCACACTGCTGAGGGTGGAATTCTGGGCTTAGATATGTAATTACATGTTTCCAAAGCAGAACTGTCCCATAGATAATACCGTTATATTAGGGGAGAAGTTAGGGGCGTTCACCCTTCTGAAGGCTCTATCTCAATCAGACAATTACTTGCTTTTTGCTCAGCTTGACCTATTGGCAGAAAACAAGCCAGAATGTCCTATTTGTTATTTTGTTTGAGATTTTATTGCTTTGTTTTGTTTTGAGAAAAAGTCTTTCTATATAGCATAGGATAAAACTTTGCAAACCTCCCACTTCAGTCTCCCAGTGCTGAGATTAGCTGTCTGGTGCCTGTTTGTTTTTAAATCCATTCACTATGCTTTTTCTCAGACACAGCAATAGCTCACACCCCACCTCTAAAACAAACCATTAGGAAAAAGCAATTTTGCTTTGAAGAATTCTATTTTAGCCAGTGACTAACTAGCCAATATCATTCCCCTTTTCCAAAACTAGTTGAATGGAATCCTAACCCAAGAGAAATTCTTTATGAACCACAGGAAGAGTGCAGATTAGGGTATCTAACTGCTAGCGCTTATTAGACCTACTTGGTGCCATGCGTTCTTTGGGGCATATATTTTTCATGGTTAAACTTGGAAAGGAGTCATTAAATAAATGTACTACTTCACATATGAAGAAAACGAGATTCTAAAGGTAAGTAGGCATAGGAAACCAAATCTATATACTTAATTCCCATCTTGTATCTAAGAAATTCTGAGAAAAATCATGTCCACATGGCAAAATGAGATATTTTCTTAACTTACCTTTTTCCATATGGGCACCTTGGCTTTTAAAGAATCAATGGCAAAGCTCACAGCTTCAAGGGATGCTGCCCTGTGCGGTGAGGACACAGCAATAATTGTGCTTGCTTCTGACACTGGGACCAAGCTTGAACAGGATGATGAAAAAAAAAAATTACCATCATGTAAAACTCTAGCTATACATTAGAACTATACTGTAATTATTTAAACATCAGTTTAATTAGAAAACAATAATCCATCTCTGTTAAATTCAGCAGAGGCGATGCCAAGGCTGATGTGGTGGCCAGGTAGTTAGCATCTGTCCACAAAACTTCTTTGACTAAGAAGAAAAGGTCCTCTCTCTGATTCAACAAACATCTGATTCAAACACAGCACAGTACAAAATGGTACCTAAAGATATACAAAAGCTACTGTATACATAAAACTTAGAATTAAAAATAAAAGCAATTAATCTTAACCAATAAGATAATACAGCAAGATTACTGGTTATAAATAAAAGTATAGGTAATAACAAAATAATGACAAATGTATTAATTGCTGGTTTCTTTTAAAATCCTAGAAAGCTATTCTTTTTAGTAGTTACAAAAAACTATTTTTAATGACTTCAGATCTATAGCTAACTTTCAACATACACTAACTAGATCCAGAGCATATAACAACTCTCCAAAGGCCTCAAGAACCCAAGCAGACATTTGCCCAAGCACTGAGGCCCAGGACCTGAAGGTCTTGTTTGAGTTGCAGTTCATTACAGCAAAACAGGCCACGAGGGCTCTCCTAAAGTTGCAACCTAGCAAGCAGCCAGTTTAAGTACTGGGGCCCTCTCCATCATCCTCCAGAGAGAGAGCGCAAACCTTCTTTTCATGGTAACACAGGATTCCTAAGAAAGAGTCTGGAATCAGGATCAGGACACAGATGAAAAGCAACTGTAGTTAACATGCAAACCGGTACAGGAAATCATACCCAAGTCGATGGAACACTGCTATGTGTTTGATTGGCCATTTCTGTCTAATGTCACTACAAATCTTTCTGATTTCATTTTCTGCCATCGGTACATATGCTTCATATTCTAAACTAATGACTTTTTTGCCTTCAAAGTTATTTCTTGTAGTCCCTAAAAAACAAACAAACAAATCATATAATTAAATAAGAGTTTCCCTACAAAAGAAATTCTGTATTAGAGAAAGTAAAGATTATGACTTATAAACAAGCAGCATACCATTTATCTAAAAATGACTTTGAAATTTTCTAAAGGCACAACTAGATTAGGAAAACAAAAGAAAATTAAATCAAAGATGATAGAAAATAGCAAAGAGTAAGCAAGCCCACTGAAAGCCTTCACAACACAAGCTATAATCTCCTTCTAACAACAGTGTTTGATACTTAAAAGCAAAGTATTTATGTTCCTGCTATTATCAAAAAATATATCTTTACCTCAAAATTTAGAAAACACAAACTATCCTCTCAGTGATGGCTTTTAGTGTGACTTCATTTTGATTTAATATAGGTTGTTACTGGAAAAGTTCCCAAGATGAAACTAGGATGCTCTTGTCTACTCTCCTGTAATCTTGGTTTGCTCCATACCATAGGTCCTTGGACTGTTGATGCTGAACATGGCACTCACTAATTTCTATCACTGTGTAAACAGTAGATACTGAGAAAATCAGAAACTTACCTATGAATAGGGATACTGCACCACAAAGTGGCGATATCACCAACTGTGAGATTTCATCTACTGAAAGTTTCTCAGCTGTGAATTTTATTATATCTTTAGGTTTCTCTTCAACCTCATTCATATCTCTCCTGGAAATAAGATATCAATATACCTGAGTAAGAATGTTAGAAGTACATCACTCAACTTACATGTCTACTTTTCCTATATTGGAAGTGGGAGGAGGCAGGATTTGATTTGAGTGATAAAATGTAAGTCCAAAATTGTATCAAGCTAATATATCCACTAATATCCCTATTGAATCCAGCATTATATATAAAAGAATTCTACATGAGCATGATCACTAACATGCAATCCATCTCATGCGTCAGTCTACCAAAGTCTGTAATTGCTGTTCACTTCTCTTATCACTGGGCATCATCACTTCCACCTGTGTGACATCACTGTTAACTACTATGTAACCAGGCCTCACCCCTAGAACTGACTTTTCCTTTATCCAGACAGGAGCCAAGGAGAAGGGAAGTGGTGGTGATTCCATGGGAACTAGTATCCCTTCACGATTTGGCTCAAGCCTAGCTAAATCATGGAGGAAATAAGGGCATTCCAGTTCCTCAGGTGCTGGGCAAAGTCCACAGCAATTAATTTTTCATTTATTCAATAAACAGTATTACACAATGACTAAGGACCAGAGACTACCCTAGGCACTAGCTAGAGATCAGGGAACAAAAAGCACAGGCTCCAGCTTCTGTCCTTAGAGCACTTGTATGTGAACAGGAGAAGGAAACCAATAAAGAACTGCAGGGCCAGCAAGATGGCTCAGCACGTAAATCCCAACCACCTGAGCTCAATCCCTGGGACGCACATGGTGGGAGACAAAGAAGTCACACAAATAGTTCTCTGACCTCCACATGTGTGCCATGGCTCACACACATGTAACGCACACGCACACACATACAAAATGTAAACAATTTTTTTTAAAAAAGGATCACGAGCCCACCCACATTGAGATAGCTTACAAAAATAAACCAATTTTCTGAGAGGTTGCAGGGGCTACTGGAGATAAAGGGATCCCAAAGGGCTCTCAAAAGCAGTAATATTTAATGTTGAGACTGAAAAGATAAGTAACCATGTGAAGAACTGAGGGCAAGACCTCACACAGAGAGTGGCAAATGTGAAGATCTGGAATAAGAAAGAACACAATGTACTCGGAACCTATGAGGAGACTAAGCACAAGAGCAAAGGAAAGAGTCTGGCCTGAGGCCGGACCAGTAAGTAGGACTCTGCAGGCCATGGGAAATATAATTAGAAATCCTGTGGCATTTCATTTGAATAGAAAAATGAAAGAAGTCTCAGAAAAGTTGTTAAAGACTTGTTCAAAATGCTGAAACACCAATAAGTTTCAATAAACCCAATGTCTCTCTGTCTCCAACTACTAAAACAAACAAACAAAAAGACAATTACTTATTTACCATTGGCTTCCAGAATGCCTGACTTTCCGTACGTGCCAGCTGTACTGCTTACACTTTCTATACCCTTTTCTTGCAATAAGACAGAAATAACCCAAAAAGGGTCAGCTATGAACTTCCAAACAGACTGAGTTCCCACATTTCACATCTCTGATTATACAAGACTACTCAAACCTACCAGGCAGATTCTAAAACTACCTAAGACAAATCAGGACAAACACACTCAAAACTCAAACACTACACAATGCTACTGAGCAATCTTTCTCATCTTTCCAAATAGCTGTAAACACATACACACACACCCCTTTAACAGCAGTGTATTGTTTCTGAATAAATTCCAAACTCTGAAAAACAACATGTTCAAACTTCCTGAGATTATGATGGTGAAATGCTAACCATAGAATCAAATAAAAATGAGAGACATCTCTAACAAGGAATCCTGTGTCTAGACAGCAGGACTGAGAAACTCCCCTACATGTAGCTATGCTGGGCATCTGCTATACAGGCCCACTCTTTATTTTCAGTGGCGTAGCCCTTCAGGAAAGTGGGGGAGGGTGAAAAATTAAACAGACATCATTGGCTCTTCTTTAACGGAGTCATGGTTTTGCCATAGTAGGCTATTTATTGTTGGTTTTAGAAAAATCCTAAGGTTACTGGTGTTATTTTTAGCTTGAGTTTTTAATCAGGAATGACTTCATTTGTAGTTTACTGATTTTTCAATACATTCTGGGTATCCATACTTAAAGGAAATTTGATCTCTCCAAAGTATCCTGAAGAATATTCATTACTCAAGTGTGGACTAAGCTGCCTGGAAAGACAGAACCAGAGAGGGGGTGCAGGGCAGCTGGTCCTTTGTACCTGGACAATGGCCAACCTTCCTTTCAGGGACAGTGATCTTTGAACTTTCTACTTGTACAATTTCTCTACGCCCAAGAAAGCTATTATCAAGTATTAGTAAATATATTTGTTAAAAAGTTAAAAGTCACATTACTAATATGAATTCAAATTTTGGTTCTAATGAGACCAAAAGCAAATTTCTGGTATATATATATGTACACATTTGTGTGTGTGAACATGTGTGCACATTTATATGGAGGTCAGAGGTCAACATCAGTGTTCCTCATCACTCCCTACCTTATTTTGGGGGACAGAATATCTTGCTGAATCTAGAGCTCACTAACCAGCTGACCAGCAAGGCCCAGGAATCCACCTGTCTGCATCCCAACACTGGGATAAAAGGTGTGTGCTCTCACCCCTGGCTTTTACATGGGTGCTAGAGCTTGAACCCAAATTATCATGTTTACATGGCAAACAATTTACCAAATGAGCCGATCTCTCTAGCTTACAAAGGCGTTTTTTTTTAAGCTTCTCCAAATGTTTCCCCATAAGCAAAATGTGGATATAGAGCTCACATCTAGCTCTGTGTCAGACATGTACATAATAAGACCTCAATAAGCACATTAAATGAAAATGAAATAATGAAATAAAATGAACACATCAAGCTGATACTAAACTGCTTACAGTAGAAGTGATGCAGAGGTGGCAGGAGGTTGTCATCAGGGCAGCTGCACCAATAGTCAAGGACTTGTGCAGACAGGCTTACAAAGAAAACCACACAAGATACCATCTGTACAATCCTCCTCCACAAAACTGGCTAGAAAGATAAATTCCACATACCTAGGGGACTCCGAAGCACTAGCCTCCACTGATTGGAGGGATAATGGCAACTTCATCTCCTGACTGAAGCAGGAGTTGCTGATCTCCAAGCTCGACATACTCTTGACGAACAGCAAATATTACCTGATTTCTAACATGAGCCAATCTGAAGGAGAAAAAATCTGATTAGAAGTTTCATGGTGGAATACACCTCACATCTCTTCACCCATACCAAGTCACCTGCAAAGCAGCGCCTATGAGTTGCTAAGCTAGTTCATGCTCTGTAGAGGATGAATCTCCTGAAAACAGACCTGATTATGAAAACACATTGAAGGCAGAGGCAGGCGGATCTCTGTGAGTTCAAGGCCAGCCTGGTCTACATAGTGAGTTCCAGGACAGCTGGACCCTGTCTCAAAAAGACTGAGAAAAAAAAAATAGTGTACTTTTGGAGCTAGAGAGATGTCCATAGTTAAGAGCATTGGCTACTCTTGCAGAGGACTCACTCGGGTTTGGTTCCCAGCAAGCACCCACTGGTCAGCTAACAACCATCTATAACTCCAGTTCCAGGGGATCCAACACCCTCTTCTGTCCTCCTTAGCATTATGCACATGAGTGGACTTACATACATGTAGGTAAAACACACATAAAGTAAAAATAAATTAAAAAAATTTTTAAATGTGCATTTTAAACTTTTTGTCCTGCCTCTGCCTCCCGAGTGCTGGGATTAAAGGCATGTGACACCATGCCTGGCTAAAAGTACACATTTTTAAATATTTAAAAATTTTTTCACTTTAGGTTAGAAAATACAAACCTACATTTTCAATGTCTTGCAAATTACAAAAAGATTGTAAGTTATATAAACATGTCTGTCTGCCTAGGAGTATCCTACTTTACTATCATTTTAGTAAATTAATTGTAATATCCTTTATGGTAATTGGACATCTCTAAATACCAGAGTTTAAGATTTCTAGAATAGTTCAAGAAAAATACAACTAGTAATCTTTTTTGACATTAAGCATGGACATCAAGTTTAATCTTTTTACAACTTGTATATCATTTACACATTTTTGAAATAGTAAAGTGTTCATCATATGCATTCTGCAACAATTTTAACTACCCAGGATGTCGAGCTTCTATCTCTTTCCACAGCTGCAATGCTTTTATTTCTTGTGGCACAGAAATGGTCTCTGAATGAACTCCTGCTATTTCAGCACTTTTTGCAAAATACAACACTTCAATCTGAAAGGAAAGAAAATAGTTGTAATAAATCACACTTAGCTGTTTTACATTTTTCCAAAGTAAGTGGTCATAAAAATTCAATATATCTAAAAGTTCATATTTTGAGAAACATTTAAACACAATTCTAATTCCTGCATGCTTTTTAGATATATCAAACTTTTGTGCTGTCTTTAAAATCCTAGTACATTTCTTTAGAAAACAACTTATGTGTGACTTAAACTGACATACAATTGACTCTCCCAGGAACAATCCATGTCTGAGTCAAGAGATGAATTACACAAGTAAAACTGACGATCAACTCATCCAAAAATCTGCTTTCATTTCAGTGGTGAAATGACCTTTGATTCCCGTCTACATTGCATGGGCTCCAGCATAAGGATTAAGTTATGCAACATACAAAACCTGACACTCAGAAAAGGAAATGGGTTTAAAATACAGGATAAACGGGTACTTCCTAAGACAAACTTGTGCAATCAGCCTGGGAACTAAAGGCTCTGACCAAGCAAGATGGCCCAGCTGTCACTTAGAACATACTCTCTACGGAATATTCACCACCGGGTCTGCAAATTGTCTAGGGTCTGTAGATCCACAGTGATTCACAATTCCCCGCAATCATTCTTAATGAGGTGCATTTGAATAATGTGAAAGGGCCAAAAACTGCCCAGGATGCTTCGGAAGGGAGCGGGTCCCGCAGGCCGGAACCTGGACAGCGGAGTTCGGGGGACGAGCTGACTTCGGCGGGGCAGGGGGAGCGCCCGGGGCGCGCAGAGGCGTCCAGCGGTAGCCCCGGGACGCGAGCCCGGCGGAATGCGGAGGAAGGGCGGCCGGAGCGGAGCCGGCTGTGCTGAAGAGCCCGGTGCCCAGATCAGCTCGACCCGCGCAGCCAATGCTTACCTGGCACCGCGGTACCATCTCGATACGCTCTAGGGAGCGGATTACCCCAATTGTGACTCGGACGACTCAGGGCGCAGGCGCCACCGGATGCTCCACCCACCGCCCTGACCCGATCCTGGTCGCGGTCACCGAGCTTGCGCGCATGCCCAGTTCCGCCCCGTTGGTCCCCTACCACAGGCCACCGGTGTCCCGGAAGTTCGCGCTGCGGACTGCTGAACGGAAAACCCTTCTGGTAGCGGAGCGTCTGGGGCGCGGGTGAGAGCGAGCAGTCTGTGGAGGTGGAAAGGTCTCCCCGGACGCCGCAGGCCTAGCTGGGGACCCGACCTTTCCCATGAGCTCGCCTCTCCTGTCTCCAGCCTGTGTAGGATTCGTGTTCCTTAAAGACAGAACATCGAGGCTGGCGTGGTGGCGCTCGTCTTTAATCCCAGAGGAAGGCAGAGGCAGGCGGATCTGAGTTCGAGGCCAGCCTGGTCTACGTAGTGAGTTCCAGGACAGCTGGGGCTACAGGGAGACCCTGTCTCAAAAAGACCTGTATATATATATATATATATATATGAGAACATTTTTGTTAGGCTATTACATTGGGACTATTGCTTTGTTTCATTTCTGTGTTACTACTGAGGTGAATCTTTTTATGTTTTTATTCACCTCTTGTACTTCTCTTGAGTTTCTATTCATTTCTTTTATTCATTACCTGCAGCATTATCATGCCAGCATTAATTACAGTTATACCTGAATAAATAGCCTGACTCTTAACTTTAGTTATGAGTAGTCTGGAATTCAGAGAACACCTGTTCCACCAGATGTCTCCTGAAACTGAGCTGCTGAAGTAGGCCTCACCCATAAATTTATTCAAAACCATTTTTCCAGCATCAGCTAAGGAGCTACAAACTTGGATAAACCCTTATCAGACAATCTTGCCCTTTCATCCCCAGGCCTAAAACATCTCATGCACACAATATCAGGGATCCTTCTCAATCTTCATTGTTTCCAGTGAAGATATGAATATGAATGCATTGCCTTTCAGTGCTTTGATTTGCTAATTCTCAAACAACACACACACACACACACACACACATACACACATATGAGCATCTTGGGGTGGAGAGAAACTTGAGGTTCCAAGGGATCAAGGTCAGGAGCCCAGGTCACAAGAGCACATGCCTCAGTGAGCTTGTTTGCAGTAGCTTTTTGGTGGCAAGGTTAATTACAAGACACCAGTCTAGAGTCTGTCTTTTTTGTAAAAGTCATCCCTATAAAGCCAGGCATGGTGGCACAGCACTGAGGCGACAGAGGCAGGCAGATCTCTGTGAGTTCAAGGCCAGCCTGGTCTACATAGTGAGTTCCAGGACAGCTGGGTCTACAGGGAGACCCTGTCTCAAAAAGGCAAAAAATAAATAAAAAAGTCATTCCTATAATTACCCAATAGATATGGAACAGTTCTTTTAAAAATGTATATAGTCCCATCTATAAGTTCTGGGTGGGCAAGAAAGACTGATAGTAGGAAATTTTCATCAATAACAAAGACTTTGATGTTATTGTAATGACAAACTCATTAATTACATAGTGTATGATCAGAATGGAATATAATTATGTTGAGAATAATAAAACAGCTTCAGGAGCTATATTAATATTTTGCTTAAGTAATAGTTTATCATAACATCTCAAGCCACCATTTTCTCAGTTTTTTTTTAAGTGAAATCCTATTTAGTTAAAAATAAAAATACAAATTCAGATAAAATAATTTCCAGTTTATTTCCAGATTTTAAAAAGACCAAATGCTGTGATAGTAGAAGTACAGGAGCACTCCAGAGCTTCACAGAAGACTATATTAAGAGGTCAGAAAGAATTTTTATCTGTAGTAACAAATTTCCAAACATGTTCATCTCCTTTTTGAAAATTGATATTTCTGTCAATGGGGGATTATCTTGATTGTTAATTGACCAAGCTCACTGTGGGTGGCACCATTCCCTAGGCTGGGCCCTGAGCCATATAAGTGAAGAAAACTAGATGAAAGAAAGCAGTCATGAGTGCATGCTTTTCTTTCTGTTCTGGGCTGTGGGTGCGATATGACCAGTTGTCTCAAGCTCCCGCTGCTATGAATTCCCCACATGATGAACCACCACCTGGAGCTGGAATCTAAATAAACCCCTTCTTGCCTAAGTTGCTTTTGGTCAGGGTTTTTTTTCATAGCAACAGAAATGAAACTGGAGCAACAGTTCAGCCCCTGATTGAACAGAGCCTAAAGTGAGTTTTTTTTTTCTGATTTCTAAAATCCAAACTATCCACCTATTTCAGAGATTTTAAAAATCAGAGTGTTTTGTATCATCTTACCAAACATTTCAACTGAAGCCTGTTTCTACATCTGTCCTCATATTTTCTACCATCTTTTAAGCTATTAAATCAAATCTAGCCTTAGGGATCTATTGCACATTACCAAGGACTCTTCCTGGAATGCCCTGAGCTTCATTGACGGTAAACAAATTGAGGCCTATAATCATATGCTATGTCTAAAAATATAGAAAATAGTTCTTCCGGTCCCAGTCTCTATTCTTTATTCTTGAGTCTAAGAATTTATGAACAGTGAAAATATTTCTGAGGAAGTTTGGACTCTAGTGTGAGATCAGTAAACATTGGACTAATGTCTTTAAAGTATTTGGGATGGTACTGAAAACTTGATGGTGTGGTAGTTTTATTTTGAAAAACTAGTTTTACATAAGCTTACATGGCATTATGCTTTAGTAACAGGTCACCCAAAATTTCAAGCACTGATCCACACAAATGACTTATAAAGACAAACTATTGTTAAGGCATGTTATAAAAGCACACATATTATAAAGGCATGTTATTAAACAACATTTCACAACACCCTGCACACTGTAGGTATACCAAATATTATTGAACTTGCTTTGTGATTAATGAGAGTATTTGAAACTATCACATTCTTCCTTCTTGTATGATTTTATTCATTAGTTACTTATAAAAACCAAACCTGACATAAACTCTATATTCTTATTAGTTTATTCATGGAAATTAAGGTCAAAAGATGCACTACCCCTTTGTGGTTAGTTATTTCAATTGCAAATCTTTCACCTCACAATGAAAAGTAGGTAGCTACTAAAGAGATTTTGGTCAATATGTGCTTCACTGCTCACATTTAAAAACCAATATAAAATCACCCAGTTGAAGATTGAAAAGGAAAGCCAGATCTCAAATTTTATTTTGGCCAAATCTAAGGTATGCATATAGAGATATGCAAGATACACATAGGGAGAATGGAAGGAAGGGAAGGAAAGAACA